CACCAGGGAGTTCACCACCTAGCAGTTTGCCACCAGGCAGTTTGCCACCAAGCAGTTCGCCCCCAGGCAGTTCGCCACCAGGGAGTTCGTTACTAGGCAGTTCGCCCCCAGGCAGTTCTCCACCAGGGAGTTCGCCACCAGGCAGTTTGCCCCCAAGCAGTTCGCCACCAGGGAGCACCACCAGGCAGTTCGCCACCCGACAGTTTGCCACCAGGCAATTTGCCACCAGGCAATTCGTCACCAAGTAGCTCTCCACCAGGGAGCTCGTCACCGGGCAGTTCGCCACCAAGTAGCTCATCACCAAGGCACGTCACCACCGGGTCAAACAACGAGGTACTTAGCCAAAAAATTTATACATCACAAAAAATGGTACGTGACCAAAAACGATTACATCAAAAACAATCTCGTGTTTAATTGAAGTTTGAACATCCAATGCCAAGAATATTCTCAATTCATTGGTCGGTTGTAGATAAATAGATGAATGAACGAATCATCACTGGTTAACCCCTAATGACTTATTGATTCGTTGTTTTGTCACAACAAGGGAGTTTAATTCATTATCTAATCATCGTCTTAGTCACATGGTTAGAATTTTTCTTGATTCTATTTGTATCATGGCCAGGAAATGGAAAATGCTTGGCTCCTACCATACCACGTTGGAGGACATCTGGACATGCATCATTCGATAGCCATTTTACAAATTGATTTAGGGTTTAGGGTTTAATATCAAGGATTTAGAGTTTGGAATTTTGATTTTATGTTTTAGGATTTAAGATTTAAGATTAGAGTTTAGGATTTAAGGGTTTGGAGTAGTGTTTTCAACCCACTGTTGATCCGACTGGTTGAACTGCTCAAACTGTCACTCGATCATGATTCCGGGTTCAGTTTTAGTAAAACATGGAATTTTGTCAAAAATTGTTGATGAGGTCAAAAACCGTCTGCCTTGAATGGTTGGACTGTTGACCCGTTCGGCCTGGTGAGCAGGTCACAGGTTATATATTAAACATGTATGCAACTTTTGGAGATATATGCATCACCCCATTATTTTTGTGAAAAAAGCCCCTTTTTGGCCTAGTATTGCAATTTTTAATATTTTTTATAAATAAAAATTTAAAAACTGAATTAAAAATATAAGCTAAACATAAAATAATGCATATATTACACATAGATTATAATTATATATTATTTATTGAWAAAGTATGTATTTATACTTTATGCCATTGTTTTGAAAACCGGACCAGACCAGACGGTCAGATCGTTGACTCAGGAGGTGGTAGGATGCATGTCCTCCAATGCGATAGAAGCCAAGGTGTTGTCCCAAAAAAACAACTCCTTTTTGCAACCCTTGATTTCTTGATTCTTTCTTCACATCCATCTCTACACTCTGAAAGATTTGGTGAGTAGGGGTGATCATCAAAAACCAAATATTCTGGTTAGCCAAACTAGTCAGTTTGGTTTTGATTTGGTATTTTTAAAAAATTGAAGGTGTCGATTCGATTTTGATTAACCAATACAAAAAAACAATGGTTAACCAAACCAACTTGTATATGTATATTTATTAGATATTATATATAATATATATGTATGCATATTATATATGTTTTTGATATATATTTTATATTATCTATATATTATAAATGAAAATATATGCATTATATATATTTATAATATATAATATATTATTTATTATTTATAATATAATATATTATATGTATTTCTGGTATTTTTATTATATATTTATTTATAATCTATATTATAAATATAAAAAAACCTGGACCGAAATAGTAAAAAACCAAATAGATTAACAGGTTAACTGGCCGGTTGACATCAGTTCGATTATGGTTCACAGTTTTCCAAAATTGATGATACTGGATTGTTTGGAAAATAGGCCACCAAACCGTGAGCAGCCTTGAATGGTGAGTGTTAATTTGAAAGTACATTAAGTAGTTGTGCAATAGCATTTCACAAGACAACTTTCAATTAGAAGACTTAGGCCCTATTTGATTTCACTTCTAAAAAGTACTTCTTTTAAGTGTTGGGACCACACATTAAGTGATAAAGAAGTACTTATGTGTGTTTGGTAAAAAAAAGTCACCAAGAAGTACATTTTTTGGAAAGAAGTATTTATAGAAAATGTGACCCGAGTGTGCCTCTTTTTCAGCACTTCTTGGAGAAGTGCTTTTTCAAAACGAATGGAACGATTCAGTCCCTAAATAATTTATTTAATACCAATTTTGCCCTTATAAGGGTTTTCTTCCCTCTCCTATTCGGACACAACAAGTAGAGGGTGACGATTCTAGTTGCAGGTCCTCCAGTGACGATCGACGGTGCGAAAACACAGCTAGTAGACCTGCCATTTTTCCCTTTGTGACTTTTTTTTTTACTTATTTTATTCGATTTAAAGCATCTTTCTTGAGTTTTTTAATGCCTAAAAAGGTGCTCTTCTCTCTGTTCGCAGATCTGTGATTGGACAAGTTTACTAACGACACCCGACCATCCAGCCGCCGGGGTACAAAGGTGAGTTCTCCCAAACTCCTCCCCTCCATGTTTGATGTTATTTTCTTGTTTTTTTGGGTGAATATTTGTCTGGATTCATTTCTTTTTCAGATTTTTCAAATGTTTAAAAAACATAATAAGTGATTTGGCAAGTAGGTTACCAAACAACCCTAAGTGGTTGTTAAAATAAGCACTTCTAAAATGTATTTGTGCAATAAGTACTTCTTTTAACAACCACTTAATCACCAAACATAACCTTAATTGAATATGGTAATATTACTTTTTTTAATTGAACAACAGGATCCTCCAAAAAGAGGAATAAAGAGAGTAAATTTAATTATTTATTTACTAGAGAGGTTTAGCGGTTTCTTTTTTTCTTTTTCCTTTGTTATGCCTTAATTAGATATAAATCTTGCCTACTATGAAAAATTCAGAAATTCATCTTATTTTGTATTCTACCACAACCCAGTAATTGGGATGGTCAATCAACATCACAAAATATGAGACTTAGGCTCAGTTTGGAAAGAGTATAAATACAAATATGTAGAGTACAAAATCTTGCATTTTGTATGTATTTGCACTTTATATATTTGTATTTGTACTCCTTTCAATCTAAGCCTTAAGATCAAACCCACGAAACTGCAAATATGAAGTACTGTATATATGACCTGATACATAGGAGACAGAACATCCTTTTGACCTATCTTTGATTTGAAAGAAAGGTAGGAAAAGAAAGGAAAAGGTATGGGACACCAAATACTATACAAGGTTTGTAGAGGTTTTTCTACCTTTTCCTTCAAACCAAAGTTAGAGATTCATGAAGTACTTTTCTGTTTTTGATGTAGTTCGTTGGAAGTTTATTGGTAGATCCCAGGCTCAAAGTATCAATGCATGGAAGGGGTGTATTGGTACTTTGAACATAATGCTCACTATTTTTTTTTATTTTTTTTTTCAAAATTTGGAAGAGGGGTGGAAATGATATTATTTTAATAGAAGTTGTCCATGTAGTCATTTATGTATTTAACATAACCAAACAACCTCTAAAATGGTCAGTCAACTTTATTAAATATTTTTGTAACAAAATTATCCCTTAAATGACCGGTCAACCTTATTAAATACTTCAGGCTTAAAATTTGCAAGACTAGTATGGGGCCCAGGTCAGAGGTAATTGGTCACTAGCAGTAGAAAATCTTAACTGAAGGTGAGTTTTGAACAACAAAAACTCAATGACAGAGGGCCGTTTGGCTGTTTTGCAAAGTTATAGTGAATTTAAGAAAAATGTAAAGAAACCATGGTGCATGAGTTTACATAATATCCCAAGATGAATTTCAGGTTTTTTTAATCGGTACTGAAGAAAACTGCTAAACCTCCCTAGCAAATAAATAATTAAAATCTCTTTCTTCCGCTTTTGAGGAGGATGATGTTTGTTGTTCTATTAAAAAGAATATGCTATTAAGCAATTACTTAATGCACTTTCAAATTAACACCTCCCACCTGTGTATTGGAAACATCTCCCCATGATAAGTAGAGATCTTCCCAACGCATGGTGAGATGTGCATGTGGGTCCCTAAGAGATTGAAGATGGATGTGAAGAAGGAATCAAAGAAGTCAAGGGTTACAAAGTGAAAGAGGAGTTGTTTTCCTGGGCAATACCTTGGCCCCATGCATCCTATCACCTCCTTATTTTTAGATTTAAATTTTAAAGTTTAAATCGTTGAACCCTAAATCTTACAATCTACTAGTAAAAAATGACTAGGACCCGGAATTATTCTGGCCATCAGTTTTTGAGTCGACCCATTTTGACAATAAAATTAAAAATATAAAAAATAATTAAAATAAAAAACGGGTAAAATTTGTTGAACAAATCATTGACCAATCCAACAGTTTTTTGCTAGAGACCGGGTTTAGGATAAAATGGAACCAATTGCCTGGACGGTTCCTARCCCGAACAGTCTGACTATCWGGATCAACGACAGTTCGAAAACATTACTAAAATCTAAGCTCTTAGTTCTAACTTAAAATCCTTGAATTATAAACCTTAAACTCTAAATCCTCAAACCCTAAACCCATAAACCCTGATCATAAATCTTTAAATTCTAAATTTTACAACCGACCTATGAATTGAGGATACTCTTGGACTTGGATCTTCAAACTTCAATCAAACACGAGATCATTTTGTTGAAAGTGGAAATTATTTTATGTCCAATAGCTAGGTGTGAAAGAGAGACTACGAGATGGGGTTCCTCTTCTCTTCCGCGTTTAGGATTAAACCACTCCAGCTTTTTGTCTTTAAGCAAGCATAGACCGAGACCAAGTCTCCGATGGGGCGACGGCTATCACTCTGTCAGTCTCAATCCCCCAATTCAATGAGTTAGGGTCCCACAACTTTGTCTTCTTGTTGATGTTTATGCATCGAAGAAGACCCTGTCTTATCACTAGTCGGTCTCTGGTTTTGTTTATTTAATTTTTTCGGGGTCTTTCTGAGCAAGTCTTCGCCGATAAGGCATATAAATACAGCCATGGGGGGAGGATATATGTATTCTACGCACAGAGCTCGTTAGAACTCAGAAACCTTTGCACCCTGATCGCAGAAAGGCCGATTCAGGATGGCAAAAGTATGATTTCTACAGTAGAAGATTTGGGTTGTCAAAATTAGCTTCGAATTATACTTGTCTGACTTTTCTGACTCTGTTATTTGCTGTGCAGCAAAAGATAGTAGTGAAGGTCTCCCTCCAGAGCGCCAAGGATCGGAGCAAAGCCATGCGGACTGTAGTGGGTGTATCAGGTAACCAACCCTCTTACGTTTTCTTGTTTTCGAACTGTGAGTATTGAGTATTCATCAACTGAGGCTGAAATAGTAGTCCATGATTTCGAAGTTTGGGATATATTGTCATGTGGAGCTCATCAAGTTAGGAGCTCCTCCGGTACCTAGAAAAATTGAAAACTGAATCAATTCCGGTGGTTCAGAACTACTTTGAACTGCCTACGTACCCAAAACAACTACTTAGAGCGTTTAATTGAGTAATCCACGTCTGTGCTCTGTTTTTAGTGAGCAGGGGATGAAGGTCAGAGCAGGTGGACGTGAGGTCCACTGAGCTTTTCACGGAGACCGGATTTGATCCCGCGCCTCCGTAGACGGGGGACGCCGATTCTGCCTACAGGGTCATCCCCCCC